GCTTCAACATCTTCTTGGGAAATTTCACCAGTTTCAATGGCTGGAGGTCGTGGTCGTGGTCGTCGTGAGCAGGTTCCGAATGAGGAAGCCCAACGCCGTGATCGCAGCGTTTAGGATGTGATGATTGCGGATTTGCAGAGGCAAGTCGTAGAATTAACCCAGCGCCTGGCGGTGCAGGATTTCGAGGATCGTGAGGCCTCTGATCACGATACCAATTCCACTTTCGAAAACCCATATCACAATCGCGCAGGATTTCAGGGCGCAGGATTCCGGGAGCACCGTGGTCGGGAGGAGCGACATGGAGACCTCAGTTTTCGGGTCGATCTCCCTGAGTTTTCTGGTACGTTACAGGCCGAGGGATTCGTGGATTGGATTAATGAAGTGGAGCGTATTTTTGAATAAGGAAGTCCCCGATCGTGTGAAAGTGAAACTGATCGCCATCAAACTCAAGGGTAGAGCATCTGCGTGGTGGGAACAGTTATGACGTTCACGAGAAAGACAGGGCAAAGCCAAGATCACTGATTGGGAGAAGATGAAAAAGAGATGAAGGGCCACTTCCTTCCCTTCGGCTACACGCAAACCTTATTTCAGCGACTTCATGCGTTGAGGCAGGGCGCGCGATCAGTCGATGATTACACGGAGGAGTTTTACCAATTGGTCGCCCGGAACGATTTATCTGAGACGGAGGAACAGATGGTGGCGCGATATTTGGGGGGTTTACGCCAGCCCTTGCAAGGTCCTCAGCCTTCATTCATTGTGGAGTGTTTCGGAAGCATACCAGCGTGCACTTGCTGTTGAAAAACAGCAAAACAGGAGACCAGTGATCAGGAGCGATCACAACAGTCGACCAGTTCGCCCTCAAGAGTCTCGTCCTGCTCAGCAGCCACCGTAGGGTAATTCTAACCCTACTATTAGATGTTTTCATTGTGGTGAACAAGGGAATAGGGCGACTGATTGCAGGAAGCCTGCTAGTCAAAAGGGCAAAATTTGTTGATTGAGGAAACGTGGAAGACGAGACTGAGGAGATTGGCGAACCCGTGTATGACGATGATGAGACTGATGATGTGCTGTATGGAGATGGTCATGAGACTCTGGTCGTTCGCAAGAGTCTACTTACCCCCAAGGGCGATTCAGGGGACGATTGGTTGAGAACCAATATTTTCCACACGACTTGCACAGTTGCAGATAAAGTCTGCAAAATGATCATTTACAGCGGCAGTTGTGAGAATGTAGTGTCCGAGGAGGTTGTCCAGAAATTGCAGTTGAAGACGGACCGTCATCCTAAGCCATACAAGTTGTCATGGCTAAATAAAGACAGTGAGGTAACAGTTGATAGGCGATTTTTCAATTGGTAAAATATTTTGATAATGCCTGGTGTGATGTTGTGTCTATGATGCATGTCATATTGTTGGGTCGACCTTGGCAGTATGATCGCAGTGTCATTCATGATGGACGGAAGAATACATATTCCCTTAGCATCAAGGGAAAAAAGATTGTGTTGGCACCCCGACGGGAAGGACTTACTCTTACCCCAGTAACCCATAATACTAATATGCTTTCTATGTCCAGGTTTTTAGATGAGATTGAGCATGGCGGCGTGGTCTATGCCTTGATACCTTGCGAGAAAAATGCAGTAGACGTGGATACAAATTTACCAGTAGAGGTGCAGCGGCTGCTAGCAGAATTCTCTAACTTGATGCCAGAGGATCTCCTCCTGGACTACCACCTATGAGGGATATTCAGCATCAAATTGACCTTGTTCCTGGGTCAAGTTTGCCAAATCGACCAGCATATCGCCTCAGTCTTAAGGAGGCCGAAGAGTTGCAGCGATAGGTGGAAGAGTTGTTGGAGAGGGGCTATATCTGAGAGAGTATGAGCCCATGTGCAGTCCCTGCTCTGTTAGTGCCAAAGAAAGATGGTTCTTGGCGTATGTGTGTTGACAGCCGAGCGATCAACAGAATTACAGTGAAGTACCAGTTTCCAATTCCCCGTCTAGATGATATGTTGGATCAGCTATCTGGTTCTAAGATCTTCTCAAAAATTGACCTTAAGAGCAGTTACCACCAAATCAGAATAAGGCCTGGAGATGAGTGGAAGACGGCGTTTAAAACGCCACAAGGGTTGTATGAGTGGATGGTCATGCCTTTTGGTTATCCAATGCGCCCAGTACATTCATGAGATTTGCATCAGGTCTTGCGGCCTTTATGGGGAAATTTGTTGTAGTTACTTCGATGATATCCTCGTTTATAGTCCGACATGGCTTCACACTTCGATCACCTCCGTGCTGTTTTTGAGATGCTGAAAACGGAGTGCTTGTTTGTCAATCAAAAGAAGTGTTCTTTCTTCACTACTTCTGTGACTTTTCTTGGTTTTGTTGTGTCTACTGATGGTGTTCATGCAGATCAGTCAAAGATAGATGCAGTCTTGGAGTGGCCCAGACCAAGAACCTTACATGACATCCGAAGTTCCATGGCTTGGCATCTTTTTACCGTCGATTCATTAGAAATTTTAGTACTCTGATCGCCCCTATCACAGAGTGCCTCAAGGGGTGTGATTTCCAGTGGTCTGAGGAGGCAGAGGCCAGTTTTCAACTGGTCAAGCAGAAGATGACCGAGGCTCCATTTTGGCACTTCCAGATTTTGACAAAGTGTTCGAGGTAAATTGATGCATCTGGCGTTGGCATTGGTGGTGTTCTGAGTCAGGCAGGTCGTCCGGTTGCTTTTTTCAGTGAGAAGCTATCGGGATCAAAGAAAATTATTCCACTTATGATCTGTAGTTCTATGCCATAGTTCAGTCCCTGAAGCATTGGCGTCACTACCTAGTACAGAAGGAGTTTATTCTGTTTTACCGATCATGAGGCCTTGAAGTACATCAATGGCCAACACAAGCTGAGTAGACGTCATGCCAAGTGGGTAGCATACTTGCAAGAATTCACTTTTACGCTGAGGCACCAAGCAGGGAGTTTGAACCGCGTCACAGATGCCCTGAGCCGTCGTACCATACTTCTCACCACCATGAGTACTAAAGTTGCAGGATTTGAGACTTCACAGATGTATGCAGCTGATCCTTCCTTTGGAAGGATATTTCAGGAGGTAACTGAGGGTCACCGTCATGATTTTGTTTTGCATAATGGGTATCTGTTTCGTGGATTACAATTGTGCATTCCAGATTGTTCATTGAGGCAGCAAATTATAAGTGAACTCCATAATGAGGACACTTTGGCCGAGATAGACATTGGCCCTTATCTTCTGAATTTTATTGGCCCAAGTTGACTAGTGATGTGGCCCATTATGTGGACCGTTGTTATGTGTGCCAGCGGTCTAAGGGAGTTCTCACCAATGCGGGATTGTACACTCCCTTACCTGTTCCTGAAGCTCCTTGGTTCGATGTCAGCATGGATTTTGTACTAGGCTTACCCCGCACCCAAAGGGCCTCTGATTCTATCTTTGTTGTGGTTGACAGGTTTTCCAAGATGGCTCATTTGTAGCTTGCAGAAAGACTATGGATGCTGACCGGATTGCCCATCTCTATTTCAAGGAGATTGTGCGTTTACATGGTGTTCCTCGATCCATCACTTCAGATCGTGATACTAAGTTCATCAGTCATTCTGGAAGAGCCTGTGGGGGAAACTGGGAACGCAGTTGAATTTCAGTAGCGCCTACCACCCCCAGACGGATGGCCAGACTGAGGTGGTGAATCGAAGTTTGGGAAACCTTTTAAGTTTGGCAGGAACGAAGCCGAAGCAGTGGGATTTGGCATTGCCTCAGGCAGAATTTGCCTACAACAGATCAAAAAACAGAACCACAGGTTTAAGCCCATTTGAGATTGTCTATGGTCAGAACCCATCCGGGGTGTTGGACTTAGCCCCTATTCCACGTATAGGACGTTTCAGTCCTAAAGCAGATGAGATGGCAAAGTATCTTCGGGGTATCCATGAGCAGGTGAAACAGACCATTCATGAGAGCAATACCAAGTACAAGACTCGGGTCGACAATCATCGTCGTCAGGTACTTTTTGATGTTGGTGATTTTGTTTGGGCTGTAAACTCGTGATCATTTTCCTGTTGGTGAGTATATAAGCTTAAGGATCAGAAGATTGGACCTTGTGAGGTCGTGCAGAAGATCAATGATAATGCTTACAGGTTGCGACTTCCCAGTCACTTGAAGACTTCTGATGTCTTTAATGTGAAGCACCTGAGTCATTGTTTTGTGGATCCTGATGACACTACTCTGAACTCGAGGACGAGTTCTTTCCAACCCGGGGTGACTGATGCAGGGGATCCGAGACAGATGATGCTGAGCTATCAGATTGCACGTTGATGGCGCTGAGATACCATGAGTTGGCAGATCAGCGCAAAGGCGGGAATTGATTGTGACATGTTCCTCATTGGGGTCGTTTGAGTATGTTTCAGTCTTTTGGCCATAACTTTGGCTACAGGTGTCAGAATCGCGCATAAGACCCCAATCCGGAAAGCTCTTTTCGACGCGCACGCTCTCCACATGAGCTATGCTCCATGTGGCCTTTTTTCAACCTCAAATTCTGCCGTTTTCCCCTCCGAATCACTAGATTTAGTTATTTTTTACTATTTATGGTAATTTCGATTGTTTAGGAAGTCAATTTAAATCCGATTTAGGCCGGATTTTTGGGAGATTGCTTATTTTATTTCGAATTTCAATTTAGAGTGATTTCGGGATTTTGCTATTTTTTGGCAAAATTCGAATAAAGACGATTTTTTGCTATAACAGTCCGGCTTGTAGACTGCTTTTTAGATGGTTTTTGATTTTATAATATTTTATTAAACCCTAGAGACTTTTTTCTCTGGTTTTTGGGCGAATTTTCTCTTGTGAATCGTCTGTCGGAGCTAGCCTACAGGATAATCACTATTCTGTCTGGCGTCACTTTTATCACAACAGTAGTAGGGACTAGATTCATAGATGCTACAACAACATCTTTCTCTTTTTGTGTGGGTGCAGGTGATTGCACCTTTTGTTCCTCTATTTGTCCCGTAGTGCCGCCAACCTTTCCAGCGACAAAGTCCATAGGCAGATTAGCTTCAGCTCATTTTACTATCATCTTGACTACATTACTGATAACCTAATTTGCATCTAGGTCTTTCTCTTCGGTCGTTGCAGCACCACAAAAAGCTTTATCATCATTTAAATCCAGTAAATATCTCGTAGTTTTTTTCTTTGAGCTCTCCTTTGATTCCAAACTTTTTTCCTCTTTAGGGAGGTTGCTTTTCTCCTCATCGACTTCCATCATGTCAATGTCCTCAGAGTTGGTAGAAAGTTCTTCACTAGTTGCCTCTGAATCAACCTTCTTTTCCTCATCATCCTTATCTGTATTAGTCTCTTTCTTATTCTTTTCATCTTGCTCTATTTCAACATTCCCTACCTCAGTCTGTGTGTCATCCTCATCAATGTTAGTAGAACAGTCGTCATCAGCTGGCATTGTTGGTAGGGTTAAACCTTTAAATATTTGAGTTGGAAAAGCTGGAAACATGACCATCAACTTCTTGAATCTCCTTGCTATCACCTTGTGGAATGTTTTGTCATGTTCTTGTGTGTATTCCTAATAATGAATTAGAGAAGAATGCATTTAGAATTGATTGTGCATTGTATGACTCAAAATTGATAAAATACCCTTCTACCTTGCTATAATAGTTGCTAGAATACTTTGCAACTCTTGTAAGGCAGGGATGACTTGTGGTGCAGGGGCCTATTCAGTAGTATTCACAACAGTATCCTCATCATCTTGTTGCTCTGGTTTAAATCCATCATGTTGCATCGTCCTCTTGATAGTAGCTAGTGTAATAACACTCTGGTTTTCTAAAACCTAATCAAAAGACAAGGTAGCCACTTGTGTTTTTTTCATAGTGTAGTTATTAAGGACGAACAAAAATAAATATCCAGAGGTCTTTCGTGCACATACATATAACTCAGCACAAATAGTTTTTCCAACATCAACATGTCATCCAAAAATAATTGAGTGCAAAAGCAAAATTATATCCTTAGTGATAGTAGAAAAATGCATTGTGGGCATTAATCGTGTCCGTAGAAAAATAAATCATACCCTTGACCCCAAAGTAAGGTCTTGCCTTTTCATGGTGTAGACTCCGGTGGTAGGCTTAATCCATCCATGGTTGGGTAGACATAGAGTGACACTGTTCTACTCCAAGTCATCGGTCGTGAGGTGTTCATTGATTGTCGTATGCTTGTACTTAGCTTCCTCTATGCCCAACAACATGCTTATGGGTTTGGCCCACTAATGAACCATTTTTTTCTCGGACAAAAACCAGGGTTCTTTCTCAACAGTTAGGTTGCTATAGAACCGTTATACAAGTTGTTGAACAATGTCACCGAGGTGGACACAAAAGGTTTCCCACTTAAGTTTCGCGATGGTGTCAGTAATATAGGCATAGACATGTGGGTCTTTAACCAATGAAAGGTTAAAGCCTTGCTCGTAGTAAAACTCACATTAAAAAAATGCTTCATTTACCTGTGCTACTACTCTTCTTCAAAAAAATATTGCATAGGGCCTGTGCTGGAAACAGCTAACGGTAAGGAAAGCGGTGCTCGTGATGGTGGCGTCGACGTTCGACGTGTTGTTTTTGCAGCGGCTTTCTTCTTTGGGGTCATGATTGGAACTTTGCTGAGTGTTGATGAAAATGAAAAAGAAAAGCAAAAAGAAAGCAATGATAGTAATGAAACCTTTTGGGATTTATGAGGGAAACGAATGAAAATAAAAGGGAAGGGAAAAATGAACTGAGCTTTTTAGGGTTGTTGGGGTTATTAACAGTGGCGTGTGAAAATGGGAAAATATAAAAAAATTATCTTTTAATCTAAATGGTTGGTTATATAAAGATAAGATTGAGGGATGAATAAAATTCAAATGGATGGTGGTGATAGTTTTAAGTGGACGAAAGGTGATGATGGGGTTAAAACATGGATAACAGCTCACGTTTACCTTTAACCATTTAAAAAAATATCGCCCCAGCTAGCAATTGTTGCTAGCAATGCATATAGCATCAAACATGCAAAATAATACTGATTGTTATGCAACACTAGTGGAATAAAAATAACGATGTTTTAGGTAGTGTTGAGGTATCCCTTGAATAAAATATAAAAAGAAATTAAAATGCACATTTAATGTAAACTAATATAATGTCAAAGATGACTTATTTAAATCAAAAAAAATAAAAAAAAAGAGGTTTGATTAGTGTAATGGAAGTAATGTGTGGGTTTTTTTTTGTTGGAAATAAGGCTTCAAATGTTGCCCATTAACTTTAAATATCTTCCATCCACCAATTTCTTTAACAACACAATCCCATGAGGAAAAACCTTAAGTATTTCAAATGGACTAGACCATCTAGATTGAAGCTTCCCAAAAATAGCTTTAAGCGAGAGTTGAATAGCAACACATTATGTCTAGCATGAAATTACCATAGCAAAATATGTTTCACATGCCACTTCTTGCTTTAATGTTTGTAAATTTTAGCACTCTCATAAGCATTATTTCGAAGATCTTATAATTCATTGAGGTCCAACATTCGTTTCACACCAGTAGCATCCAGGATAAAGTTTAGTCTCTTCAAATCCCATATTTCTTTATGATCCAGCTTTACGGGTAAATGAAAAGCTTTTCCATACACTAGGTAATATGGAGACATACACAACGAGGTCTTGTAAGTATGTTGTAGCAATGTGGTGCTTACAAAAAAATTGGGAACCTCATCACTAATGAACATTCTTTGTGTTATAAAGTAAGTAAAAAAAATTGTGGAGAAACCTCAAAATCGCTTGATAACTCTCTAAAAGAGTTATTATTTATAACCTTTTTACTTAGGTTTGTGTTTGTACTTTAGCATATTAGGATCATATTTAATTTTTAGTTACTTTTGCATTACATGCATTCCTGGGAGTGAGTTAGTAATTTTTGGATTAATTATGATATTTTGTTGTGATATTGTTACCCTGATTATGTGACATTCTCTGATGCTATAGACATTGTTGTGCGCTAGTGCTAGATAGGATTATTAAGCCTTTGTTGTAGCAATCGATGCATGAGCAGAAGGTTGTTGATAGTGATATAGAATCCTAATATGGAAATGAGTCTTAAGGAAAAAGGATTCTCAATTTATGTGAGCTTAAACTCAACTTTTTAGGGTTTTTAATTGTTATATAAAGGATGTGACAACCACCAATTAAAAGGGAGAGCTTTATATGGTTTTATTTTATTCTTTTCTTTTGTCTACCATAAAACCATAGCCGCTTAGGTAAATTTGGGGAAAAATAGATGCTGGTGAAGGCAAAACTCACAGCACCGAGAGGTGGTGGCTGGTGATTAGTGAGAGCATCAACAACGAGAACGATAAAATAATTCCAAGAGGGAGTTTTATTTTTGTTTAGTTGAAATACTTTGAATTTTATGTGGGATTCGTTAAACCTTGGATGTTATTATTTTTAAATATATTTTATGAGTTTCATGTTAGTTAATTTTTCCCATTGATTCGATTGGTGTTTGCTTGGTTTTATTAAGGCATTAGTATAGGGATATATATTTTCCCAGTCCATTCCATCGAGAGGTGAATGTCATTGTGTGATCACTGCATTGAGAGGTGAGTGTCACTATCGCATCATCAATGATTACGAGAGCAACATTTCAGTGTAGAGAGATCTTACTGACTTATTGTCGTAGCATCCTCAGTAAATTTGCATACATGGGTATAGAGATATAACATTGCTATGAGTTTCTAGGTGGAGCCATAGAGAGAGGAAAACCTACTAAGTTAATTCTAAATGCATTGATCGTATTGTTATGGCATCGTTAATTGCATGATTGAGTTTAACAATACCTTAATCTTTAGCTTTAGTCGATCAATTGCTTTCATTGCCACTATTGTGATTCCCTTCATCCCTTTATATCTTTATTCACATATTTATTTTAGTTATTATATTTTTTTGCTTTGTTCGCAGCATCACCTACCCAATTTTGTTGTTTTACTTACATAATGTTATAGCAATTCTTTAAGTATTACTAGTCTTTGTGGATATGATACTCGATGCATTAATTTTCATCTACTTTATTACTTGATACAATAGTGTATGCTTGCACTTTTACTGTTACATTATTTTAAGCATCAAGTTTTTAGCGTCGTTACCGAAGACTAGTGTCATTACTTTAAGAGTTGTTTTTTTACTAACATAGATTTTTTATTTTTATAGGTATATTTTAATAGTTTTCTTTTGGTGTATAAATCAAAGCAATAATCATTGGAAGGAGAACAACAACAAGTGTTTAATGCTAGAATTGTTCCATCTTTGCAAAATATTTTGATACTGCCAGCTTATCACAACATTGATGACAAGAATAGGAAAATTTACGAGCATATTGTGCCCACATTAGATGATTTGATTCCTGGCATTGTTCGACCGACCATCCATGTTTCCAACTTGGAATTGAAGCTAGTGATGATGTTCCAAATGATGCAATCAATGGGGCAATATAGTGTGATGCACACCGATAACCCCATAGCACACTTGAGAGCTTTTATGGAAGTGTGTGACTTATTCATACAGCAAAGAGTGACTGATGAGGCCTTGAAGCTGAAATTATTCCCATACTCGCTTCGCGACAAAGCCAATGTGTGCTTCAATTCACTGCCACCTAGTGCTATAGCAGCATGGAACGAACTTGACCAAAAGTTCTTGCTGCGATTTAATCTTCTCAACATGAATGCTAGATTGAGGAATAACATCACATCTTTCAAACAATTGGAGGATAAGAACTTGTATGAAGCTTGAAAGCGATTTAAAGACTTACTGTGAAAATGTCTGATGCATGGTTTTCAACATTAGACACAAATTGAGATATTCTAAAAGGGACATAACATGCAAACAAGGATGGTTGTAGATGCTTCTGCCAATGGAGCATTGTTGGACAAGTCCTACAACAAAATTTATGATATCTTAGAGAGGATTTCCAACAACAACTACCAATACCTCACTACAAGGATTATGTCGGGTAGACGCGTTGTTGCAACAATATATAATGATGCTCTAAACACACTGACCACATAGTTGACAACATTGACAAAAATGATGAAGAAAATGAAAAAGCTTGGAGATATTTATGGGGTAAAAGATACATATTTTGTTTATTGTGGTTATTGTGGTGATAACCATAATTTTGAGAAATACCACAAAACCCCAAGTCTATTTAATTTATGAGAAATTATAACAGGATTGATAATGTCAACATATTTGGGAACACCTACAATCTAAATATAGCATTGAAATCCAATTTTGGGAATACACAACACTATCAACAACAACAATATACTCAGCAGCAACCAATATTGCATCATTAGTCACATCATCATGCAATCCCACAGCAACAACACAACAACCAACAATGTTTATCAAGGGCAGCCTTCTAATCAAGCTTCAAAATTAACATCACATGATAACATCACATGAGTATCTACTGAATGAGTATATCTCAAGAAATAAAGCGATGAATCAAAAGAATGAAGAATTGATCCAAATCCAGTCATCATTGCTAAGAGCATTGGAGATTCAAGTTAGATAGATGCCAATAAACTCAACAACATACCACAAGAAACATTATTGAGTGATACTGAAGTTCCAAAAAGTCATGGAAAAGCTCCTTACGATGTGCATTGCAAAGCCATCACAACATGTAGTGGTCTCCACCTTGGAAAATCAATGATGAAAATGAGAAATAAGGTGAGAAGCCTGGACTACGAGCTAAAAGTAAGGAGTTTGAAGTACCCAGTGTGGATGCTACAGCAAAGGATGCATGATAGAGCATTAATTCTAGGACAATGCTTCCAGTAATGTCGACAATTACATGTTAACATAACATTGCTGGAAGCAGTGGAGCAAACGCCAAACTAAGTTAAATTCATGAAGGAGGTGCTTTCCAAGAAATGTAGGACTGGTGATTTTGAGACTGTTTCACTCACTAAAGAGTGTAGTGCCATTATCATGAGAAAATTAACCCAAAAGTCAAAAGATCCAGAGAGTTTTACTATTCATTGTACTATTGCCAGTCAATACATAGGTAGAGCTTTATGTGACTTATGCTTTAGCATTAACTTAATTCCCTTGTCTATTTTCAGAAAACTTGGGATTGGTAAAGTACAACACATAGTGGTTATACTTCAACTCACTACCCGATCCATTTTCCACCCCAAAGGAAAGAATGAAAATGTGCTAACACGGGTAGATAAATTTATTTATCTAGTAGAACTCATTGTCTTGGATTATGAAGCTGACAAAAAGGTGTCCATAATAATAATAAGACCATTCCTTGGTACTAGAAGAACACTGATTTATGCTGAAAAGGGAGAACTCACAGTGCGCCTCAATGACCAACAAATTACATTCAATGTGTTTGTTCCTCTACAATGCAATAAAGAAGATGAATGTCATGTTTTTTGGCATTGTCGAAGAAATAGTAAAAGAGAAATTAGATGAATGTGGGAGTATTGAAGAACTCTTTAATATTTCTGGGATAAAAGAAGACTCAATCAAGCTAGAGGGGAACTGGTGCTTCTACATTGATCCTGGCATCAACAGTAGTTATGCACCACTAATACCGACTATAGAGTCACAACATGAACACCTGAGGAAAACTGAAAATGCTACCATGGTGCAGAATAACACAATTGCAGTGAGTGCAACAAGAAAGGTTTTGAAAGGCTTTGACGATAAAGACTCTCATCTGAAAATTCACCATGTGAAGCCACAATATTGCTACGGAGACAATAAAGAAGTAAGATTCATGACTGATTCTAACAATAAAGTGTTTTTTTACAATGTTTTGATCCCACAAGCACAAATGACCTGAAGTTTTACAATAATGTCACAGAAACCATCGAAAAACCAAAAGGGATATCGTTTTATTGAGACCCAGGAAAAGTTACCACAAACTTCAATTTCACTATGTGAAATAATTTTTTACATGTTTTCAATAAGTCATTTTATGGAATTATATTAGATTTTTTTATTAGTTCTATTTAATGCTTTTATCTCAAGTTTTTTTTTTTGTGAAAATGTTACATTTTTTTGATGAAGTTTGATGAGGAATTTTTTTCGTAGAGAAATGTATGAGGAATCTGTTAGACTTTTGCTAAGGTTAGGATTTTATGGAAAACTTTAACACAATGGGTGTATGCTTTCAATACTTAGAAACATTAGAAATTTTTGAACCTTGAAAATCTCACAGCATTATTAGGTACTGTAGAAAACATTTGAACTTTAAAAAAATGCTAGAGGTGCCTAGCACTGGCTCTAGCCTTGATTTGAACAAAATGATACTAGAGGTGCCCGAAACAGGCTATAGTAAAAAAAATACTTTTCAAATATCCAATATACTAAAGGTGCCTAAAACTGGCTCTAGGAATGAAATGGAAATAAAAAGATATTGGAGGTACCCGAAAATGGCTCTAGCAATGAAATAAAGTGAGGATAATGTTACTGTAGCATTGAAAATTAAAAAAAAATGAGTAGGATCAATTTTTTCTAATTTAGCTAAGTATTCCTTGGATACACCTTGCTTGCACACTACATCACTCAATAGAATTTGACTTTGGTAAGTTGAAAATATATTCCTTAATTTGAGATCAATTAATACTATCACATTTGTGGCAACAATGAAAAATTCTGAGAATTGAAAATGTGAGTTAAAAATCTAGGTTGGTTTGGCAACATTATGGTTTAACATAGTTATTCCTTGCATTATAGTTGCTTGAGGACAAGGAAACACTTAGGTTTTGGGGTGTGATAACTCTCTAAAAGATTTATTATTTATAGCCTTTTTACTTAGGTTTGTGTTTGTATTAGCTTATTAGTATCATATTTAGAGTGTTCTTAGTTAATTTGCATTACATGCATTGGTGGGAGTGAATTGGTAATTTTTTTATGAATTATGATATTTTTTGTGATATTCTTACCCTGATATTGTGACATTCTCTGATGCTACAGATGTTGTTGTGTGCTGGTGTGATACATGATTGCTAGGTTGTTGCTGTAGCAATCAATGTGTGGGCAGAAGGCTATTGACAGCTAGACAGAATCCTAATATGGAAAGGAGTCTTAACAAAAAAGGACTCTCAATTTAATGAAGGATTAAACTCTACTTATAGGGTTTTTAATTATTATACAAATGATACAGCAACCACCAATTAAAAGAGAGAGCTTTTTAGGGTTTTCTTTTATTCTTTTCTTTTCTTTACCATAAAACCATGGTCGTTTAGGAAACTTTAGGGAAAAACAATAGCTGGATGTGAAGGTAAAAGTCACAATGTTGACAGGTGGTGGCTTGTGATCAGTGAGAGCATCAACGACGGCAAAGATAAAATAGTTCTGATATGGTGTCTTATTTTTTTAGTTGAAATAATCTTAATGTTATGTGGAATTTGTTAAACCTTGGATGCTATTATTTTTAAATATATTTTATGAGTTTCATGTTAGTTAATTTTTCCCATTGGTTCGATTAAAGTTTGATTGGTTTTATTAAGGCATTAGTGTAGATATATATATTTGCCCAGCTCATTGCATCAAGAGGTGAATGGAATTGTGTAAGCACTGCATCGAGAGGTAAGTGTGCATCAAGAGGTGAATGGAATTGTGTAAGCACTGCATCGAGAGGTAAGTGTCACTATCGCAACATCAGTGATTGCGAAAGCAACATTTCAGTGTACAGAGATTTTGCTGACTGATTGTCGTAGCATCTTTAGTAAATTTGCATACATGGGTATAGAGATATAGCACTGCTGTGAGTTTTTATGTGGAGCCATCGAGAGAGGAAAACCTGCTACGTTAATGCTAAACGCATCGATCGTATTGTTGTGGCATCATCAATTGTATGACTTAGTTTAACAATACCATAATCTTTAGCTTTATTCGATCAATTGCTTTCATTGCCACTGTTGTGATTCCCTTCATATCTTTATTCACATATTTATTTCAGTCATTATATTTTTATTTCTTTTTTCACAGCATCAACTACACAATTATGTTATTTACTTACTTAATGTTATAGCAATTCCTTGAGTAATACTAGTCTTTGTGGATACGATTACTAGGTGCATTAATTTGCATTCACTTTATTACTTGATATCATAGTGTATGCTTGAACTTTTGTTGTTGTATTATTCAAAGCGTCATCGCCTTAGCAATGCTTATAGGAAATGTTATAGCTTTCACCCATTTGGATATATTGTCAACAACTAGAATAAATAGATTTTCGCACGATAATTAATAAGGTCCCATGAAATTTAACCCCCAAACATCAAACAATTCAATTTCCATGATAGGCTGCAATGACATTTCTTTGTGGCAAGAAATGTTACCAGTTCTTTGACAACAGTCACAATGTTTGAAAAAATCATTGGCAACCTTGAACAATGAAGGCCAATAGTAACAATATTGAAGAACTTTTACTGTTGTACGCATACCCTCAAAATGAGCACCATAGGGTGCATCGTAACAATGATGTAGAATACTTTGCTACTCACATTTGGGAGCAAATCTACGTAAAATCTGGTCATTGCATTGCTTAAAGAGGTAAGACTCTTCCCAATTATACAGTCTAAAATCTTGTAAGAATATTTTCTACCTTCGTGATTGAGGTCAGGTGGCAGCAACCAACTCATCGAATAATTAACAAAGTCCACATACCAAGGTAATGCCTCAATGGTGAGTAATTTCTCATCCCGGAAAGCATAAAGAATCACTACCTGATTCCAAATGATATAAATGGTTAGCAACTTGATTCTCAAATCCTTTCTTGTCTTGAAATTCATTGTCAAATTCTTGA